TTTTTATTTTATTTTTATAATTTTTTTACACAAAGATATAGATTTTGGAAGTTCTGGCTATTTAAATAAATAAAATAAAGCTCTATATATCTACCTATCCAACTCATCCTCGTACACGTCCATCTGAGTCAGCCCGCCTTTTACGTACCATGTTCCTGACCGGCGTAATCAGAGCCCTCCTTTTGATACACGCTCAATCGGAGGGTCCTTCGTCATCATCCCCAACTGGTTTAACCTGAGAGCCGTCCACCTTCAATCCTTAATATCTCTCTCAATACTCAACCAAATTAAGTGCGGTTTGTTCCTATAAACTCATCTTGACTAGGGGAACATATCCATATGGTTGATCAAGTCTTAAATCAAGTTTATAAGCATGGAGAATAAAATGAAGCTCGATTTAAGGGGAGAGTCCAATACCTTTGCCCAGAAGGTGTGGCCTCGATTGGGTGCTTCCAAAAGCTTTCCTTGAGTCCAAAGAGCTCCTAAATGAAGCCTCAAGCTGTGGTAAAATGCCTAGGTATGAAATAAACCAAGGCCAATTTAGGGGTTCGATCAAAGTCAATGCTAGGGTGGTCTGGTGATGGGGCTTTTGGGGGGATATTCTTCTCTCACTCAGGGGATGGTGTGAATGCAATTAATTTTGATTTGGTGGAGTTTTGAGGGGTGTCCTGTTTCAAGCTCATATTAGAGTTGAGAAATTGGCTCTGATCAGTGGGGAAGAGGGTTGGAGAATAGTTGCATTGCACTTAGTCACCATCTGACTCAGGGAGGTCATGGGTTGAGGTCATGGCTTGATTTTGGTGAAGTCAATTGGGGTTGACCATGTGTAAAGGCATTGAATTTAAATGGAATGGGGAAAGAGATATTTTGGGTCAATTCATGGTTTGGGGTTGGGTTCACTCGCCAAGGAGGGTTTGGATGCTGAGGGAAATCAAATGATTCAGCTTAATCAACATGGTTGGGCCCCTGTACAAGCGATTTGCCATAAGCATGAGGTTTGGGTGTTTCATGAAGTGGGTTAAAAAGGATCTTAAGGATATTTGAAAGTGGTTTGTATCCCTTCCATTAATAGCATGGTGATGTGGCATGGCTCTCATGGCTCACTTATGGCTTGGGAGTGGCTTCATGGCTTGCATGTGGTTTGGTTCTTTTGCATGAAATGGGGTTTTAGATTTATTTGGTATTTTTGGTGAAGTTTGGCATGATGCTTCATTTGGAATGGTTTGATTTTGGAATTAGGACGTAGGAGATGATTTTGATGAGATCTGTGATGAGGAGAAAAATTGAATAAAATGTCATGTGAGTTTTTTGATTAAAATTGGGCTTTTGGGATTTAAGTGTAGTGGGCTTGAATTGGGTCAAAATTTGGGCCAACCAAATGTTCAATTAGATGTAGGAAGATGTCATAAAGAATTTAGGAAAGATTCAAAGTGGTTTTGAATTGAATTGTAAGGCCTATTTGAGGAATTTATACATATGGTTAAAATTAGGGATTTTTGATTTGGATGAAATTGAGCTAGTAATTGAGTCAAATTAAGCTTTTATTTTGTTTAGATTGGGATTGGGGATATTTAATTTTTATTCGTAATTGAAATTGGGCAAGATTAGGGTTAATTGGGCCAAGATTGAGGCTAATTTTGGGAAAATTGGGTCTTTAAAGACAATTTGAGGTTTTTGGTCAAATTGGGTAAAATTGGTAAAATTGGGTCAATGTGATGGTTAAAAATTGAAATTGGGAATATTTGGGATGATTTTGGAATTTTTGGGATTTTTGGGTCAAGAGGGAAATTTTTGTAAATTTTGACAATTTTGGGGGCATTTGGAAATTTGGTGATTTTGGCGAATTTTGGTTAATTTAGGTAGCGGTGAGTGATTTGAGATGACTTTTGGACAAATTTGGGTATTGTGGGTAATTTTGGGATTTCTGGCAAAAATTAGGGTTGTAGGGGTATTTTGGTAATTTGGTGATTTTGGGCTAGAATGGGTAAGTAAGTCATGAAGCCATGCCAAACCAATAAGAGCCATATGATGACTCATTTTGGATGTTCAATATGTTGGTCCTAACCCTCTTAGCCAAGGATTAGGGGATTGGGTCCACCCATATGAGCTTTCCAAAAGGAGTGAGGAGACCAAATTAAAGGGGTTTTAGGGTTTGGGGGTTTGTGGGTTGGGGGTATGTGAGAAGGTGTGTGCAGGCTAGCCTAACTACAACCAGACTACCCAGGGTTAGTCCTAAAGCTTGACCATCCATTGGAGACCACCCAGGGTTAGTCCTAAAGCTTGACCATCCACTGAGGACTCTCCTTGAGCTGCTCTATACTGACCCCACCTACTAAGTGCTAGATGTTAGGACCAACATGTGAAACTTCAAGTTGAGCAGAGAAGAGCGTAGAATTTCTAATGTCTGAGGGTTCATTTTCTAGTCCTCTAGGAATAGTCAACATGAAAGTCCTATAGCTAGACCCTATGTTACTAAAGAGAAAGAATTATACCTCAACCAAAAGTGAGGTAAAAAATTCTTTAAAATATGGATCAAAATAATCGTCCTCTACTACTTAGACATCTTTATAATTTTTAAAATAATATTAAAGGGTTTATTAAGCTAATAAACACCCAAATCTCCTAATTAATTCCACACATCAATTGAGATATCATTAGGTACTATTGATTTTCCACCTTCGGTTTTTTTTTAAAGCCTCAACAATTTCTATTTTATTAATGTGATGATAAAAATAAATCATTTTATTATTATTAATGATATTAAGATTACTAAGGTCGATCGTATTTCAGGAACTTCATTAAAAAGTTTATCAAAATAGCTCACCCACAAATTTTAATTGTCTTATTCTAAGAAAAATATTTTTGATTTTCATATTTAATACACTTAGTTAAATCTTTGCATTTTTTTTATCTTTGTTTGACTAGTTTATACTTATATTTTTCATACTCTTTAGTATCTAATCTATTACAAAGATCACTAAAAACAAAATTTTTAACATCACAAATTATTCTCTTAGTCTCCATACATGCCATCTTATATATTTTTCAATTGTCAAAGCTTTTACATTTAACTAATTCTTATAACACAACTTCTTATATTTTATGTTTTATTGCACATTGTTATTCTACCATCAACTATTTTTATTTATAGAAACTTAAAATTTAAAAATAAAAGATATATTTAAAATAACACTATTTTAATTTTAAAAAAAATGAAATAAATATTTTTATTTTTATATAGATTATATATTCATATAACTTAAACTTTAGAACTTAGATATATAAATATATAAGAAAATATTATTGGAAGATTTACAAACATTAGAGTGATATTTAGTTAAATATTTCAAAATACCAAGGAAAAATTTCATACACACAAGTCAATTCTGATGTATTTATATATCTAAATTTTAAAACTTAATTTTCACATTTATGACATCTTAGTTATAAATAAAAGATATATTTGTTTTTTTAAAATTTATAATAATAATTTTTTTATATGATACCAAAGAATTAAGTGTTGTAATTATAAAAATAAAATTTAAATGTTAGATATATGTAAAGGCGTTCGTTGCCTGGAAGCCCAGCAGTCTCTCCGCGTTGAAGGATCCGATGGCACCGTTTCATTCTTCAATAGACTCTGCATTTAAAACATCCTTCCATTTTCGTATGTTCTCCTCTCCCTCTTCAGCTTCTTCCTTAACAGTTTTCCCCACCTTGTCGTTCCACCGCCGCCTGGCTACAATGGGAGAGGACGGCGATGAGAGGGATTTGGAGCAGTTCCGGGTGACGGTGGTGGGAAGCGGCAACTGGGGAAGCGTTGCCGCCAAGCTCGTCGCTTCGAATACCCTCAGACTTCCATCCTTCCGTGGTATCTTTCTCTCCTTCGTTTACAAAAGAATGCGCCTTAATAGGAGCAATCTGAAC